TCTACTGTTTATAAGCGTTTTTCCACCGTTTATTAACGTTTTTCTACTGTATATAAGCATTTTTCTACCGTTTATTGGCGTTTTTCTGTTTATAAGCGTTTTTCTACCGTTTTTAAGCATTTTTCTACTGTTTATAAGCGTTTTTCTACCGTTTACAAGCGTTTTTCTTGCCATCTGTAAGCGTTTTTCTACCGTTTATAAGCGTTGTTCTACCGTTTGTAAGCGTTTTTCTATTTATAAGCGTTTTTCTACTGTTTATAATCGTTCTTTCTACTGTTTGTTAACGTTTTCCCTACCGTTTGAAGGCGTTTTCGTCGCCCCCGGCTTCTTTCACGTTTATATGAAAACTCATCAATGCCCAAAGGAGGATTGGTGAAAAGTGGCTGTATTGGCAGGCTAAACAACAAGAAAATAGACTAAACTACTTGAATCGACTGAAATATGAACTGCTGTAACTAAACAGAAGGAATCAGCGAATACAGTAACATTGAATGTCAGTATTTTGAAGTAGTATTGATATTTATTGTTTTCACATTTGTATACAGATGATTTTATGACACGTTTCACGCTCCAGGGAGATTTAATCAAAGAACTATTAAAAATATCGACTAATTTCAATTAAGACTAACATACATAATAACTCAGTCTTAAATTGCTATTTGATAAAATATTATTCTCTGACTAGGTTCATCACTGTTCAAAGTATCATAATAGCCCAAGTTGTTTTTGGTAATCTTGCAGCTGGCACAGAAATCCTTCATTTGGTTTCACGCAAGGTCTGGCCTGTCGAAGAATTTTCATGGCGTCCTCTAATGACAATCTGTTTGATGACATCAGGTATCCAAGAACGACCGCTGCAGAACGGGATACACCGGCATTGCTATAAAGAGATGAGTCAGGAATGTGTTATAAATATTATGTGCACATAATACGGCTTGCCTGTGTAGAAAATTATGTTTTGTAGAACCAGACAGACTTATTTGTATTTCGATGTTTAAGTGTCTAAGGTCAAGGTGAGTTATTTTAAGGATGCGCTTCTAAAAGATGTCTTTCCATGCCATCATTTCGATTTAGAAAATTGCCCAAAGAAATACGTACGCTGACTGGTTAAAAATCGTATTTCTATATAACAATTAGATTACGAGCTCGAGATTTCTATCGCGTGATAGTTGACGAGGGCACAGCGCGAGTCAACTATCACGCATAGAAATTGAGAGCGCTTAATCTAATTTTTTT